TCTCTGGTTAAAAACATACTCAAAGATGAACTGAACTTATGGGGACGCGTCAGATTTCAGGTAATATTGGAAGTGGTATGGATTAAAGAGGGTGTTAAGTATACTCGCCCCTTCACATGTGAGGGGGGACATCACGACTCAACACCAGATAAATTGTTTTACAAGTATACAGGAATACCTACACAACTTCAAGGAATACTATATCCAACAGTGTAAGTACTGGATTGAAACGGCCTCACTATATTTTTTAGGAGTTACCTCCCTTTACTGTGGTCCAATTAGACATTAATTCTCTTAGGTGTGTACGCAATTATGACTACTATACGCGAGCTTAAGCAAATCGCCAGACAGAGAGGTGTGATAGGGTATTCTAGAATGCAGAAGCCAGCCTTGTTGAGATTACTAGGTTTAGAAACCCCTCTCACAGTAAAACAATTAAAAGCTCAAGCAAAACAGCTTGGGTTCACAGGTTATTCAAACCTGGGGAGAGCCGGGTTAAACGCATTGTTATCACATGCCCCCGTAGCAAAACCTCCCACTGTAAAACAATTAAAAACCGAAGTTCGTGATTTGGGGTTAGGGGGGTATTCCCGAATGAGTAAACCACAGCTTGTAGAACTGTTACGGCAGAATAGAGCTATTGACCTACAGTTCGTGCGCACTGAGCGCGCTGTAGGTAACTATTTGAGAGGTTGGCGCATGCATGTTGATAGGAACATAGACATTACAGATATTAAGCCACTGATAGCTGATAAAATAAATCAGGAACTAAACAGTCTGGGAAGTATCAAGTTCCAGATCACAGTTAAAATGTCGCTCGATAAGCAGGTAGGGGGAGGGGTCACTGAGTACGTTCAGCCTTACTTCAGAGGTAGGCAAGAGGTTGTCATGCATACAGAGACCATTAACGCATCGATCGATACCAGTTTTCAGCAGATACGAGAATACCTAGAACGCTACACACACTTGGGGTCCGGGTGGGCTGTAGATAAAATCGATAATGTCTATCTAGACATAGCTAACTACGTGCCGTTCAGAGGCGGGTCATACCTAGACTTGCCTCCCTACTATAGGAAAAAACATGCCATGGTCAACGTCAAGAATAGAGGAGACGATTGCCTGAGGGTAGCTATCAGGTCAGCCTTGTTTCCAGCTGACACTCATTCAGACAGGCTTTCTAGCTATCCCCAAGATGATGGGCTCAACTGGGATGGTATAGATGAACCCACCCCCATATCCCAGATAACTAAAATAGAAAAACAGAATAATCTAGCTATAAATGTCTTTGGGCACGAAGGTAACACAACAATAGTACACAGAGTCAGCCCGTTGGGGGGAACCCCAACTGGGGGAACCCCACCAAGTTATCAATATATTTATGATCCAACGAGGTGAAAAGTATCACTACACGTGGATAAAACATCTCAGCCGGTTGTTGCACGACCAGTCGAAGCACGTTGGGAAAAAACACTTTTGTGTGCGATGCCTACACGGTTTCAGCCGAGCTGATTTATTAGAATCCCACCGGGAGGATTGCCAAGGTGTGGGGCAGACAGCCATACGCGTTGATATGCCTAAGGAAGGTGACAATATCCTAAAATTCGACAACCACAAGAACCAAATGTCTGTGCCTTATATCATATACGCCGACTTTGAAGCCTTGGTTAAACCTATTAAGGTTGTTGGGGATATCCCCACAGGCGGGGTTGTTGGGGGTACCCCAACCACACTCAAAACACAGGAGCATGAAGCCTGTGGGTTTGGATACGTTGTCGTCCGTTGTGACGGGGAAACGAAAGCTCCGGTAGTGTATAGGGGCCCTGACGCGGCTGAAAGGTTTCTAAAGTGTTTGCAGGAGGAAGAAAAAAATTATTAGGAATGCGTTGTATAGAGTCGCTCCCATGCGTATGACCCGAGCCGACAGGCTAGCTCACGCCTGTAGCACTAATTGTCACGTGTGTGACTCACCACTTAACGGTGATTCGGTAAGAGATCACTGTCACGTAACCGGTAAGTATAGAGGCGCCGCTCACAGCGCGTGTAACCTTAAGCTTAGAATCAACCCTAAGACAATAAACATTCCCGTTGTCTTTCACAACTTGAGAGGGTACGACTCTCACTTAATCATGCAGGCCATCGCGAAAATCGATGGCAATATAACGTGCATCCCCAACAACATGGAGAGATACATCTCCTTCAGCTTAAACGGCCTTAGGTTCATAGATTCAGTACAATTTCTGCTGTCTTCATTAGACAGTCTGGTCAAGGCCAACGATACCTTCCCTATTACCGATCGATACACAGACTCCGAGACTAGACCCCTGCTTATGAGGAAGGGTGTGTACCCCTATGAGTACATGGATAGTTGGCCCAAGTTCACCGAGACCAGACTACCCCCCATCAGAGAATTTTACAGCAATCTGACCGACTCGGAAATATCCCAAGACGATTACTCACACGCTATTAATGTATGGAATAAACTAGGTTGTAAAAACCTGGGTGACTATCACGATCTGTACTTGAGGGCGGATGTACTGCTGTTAGCCGACGAGTTTGAGACGTTTAGGCGGACATGTTTCAAGCAGTATAAACTCGACCCCACATGGTATTACACCAGCCCAGGTCTGTCGTGGGATGCCTTGCTTAAAAAGACCGGAGTTAAGTTGGAATTGCTTACGGATTATGACATGCACCTATTCATTGAGAAAGGCTTGCGAGGTGGGATCTCCATGGCAGCCAAACGATACGCGAAAGCAAATAATCAATACGTGAAGGGCTACGACCCTAACAAGCCAACCAATCACATTCTCTACCTCGACGCCAACAACCTGTACGGCTGGGCCATGAGCCAGTATCTACCCACAGGGGGATTCGAATGGGCGTCACATGTTGATGTTATGAGCATCGCGTCAGATTCTAACAAAGGTTATATCCTCGAGGTTGACTTGGAGTACCCCAAGGCATTACACACATCACACAACAGCTACCCCCTGGCCCCCGAACGTATGAGGGTTAACCCAGACTGGATGTCTGAGTACCAACATAACTTGTTAGGTGGGCGTGTGACAGACGTTGAAAAACTCGTGCCCAATTTAATGAATAAGACCAAGTACATCGTTCACTATCGCAACCTACAGCTGTACCTGTCGTTGGGTATGAGGCTGACCAAAATACACAGGGTGCTCGTGTTCGACCAGAGCCCATGGATGGAGCCTTACATCAGAATGAACACAGACCTCCGAAAGCTTGCCACCAGTGACTTTGAGAAAAATCTCTACAAGCTCATGAACAACTCGGTGTTCGGTAAGACTATGGAAAACCTGAGGAAACGCGTGACCGTGAAGCTGGTTCGGTCGAATGAGGAAGACAAGCTCAGGAGACTGATAGCCAGTCCGGCATTCAACCGTAGCAAAATATTCACCGATGATCTAGTTGCCTTACACATGAAGAAAAGTCACATAAAATTCAACCGGCCTGTTTACGTGGGGATGAGCATCCTCGATTTATCCAAACACCTGATGTACGACTTTTACTACAACGAGCTCAAGAAACAGTACGGCGACAGGTGTGAAGTGCTGTACACTGACACGGATTCCCTGCTGATGGAGATTCGAACCGAGGACGTGTACGAGGACATGAAAAAACACCTCGATTTGTACGACACCAGCGACTACCCCAAGGATCATGCCATACACAGCACGGTGAATAAAAAGGTTCTAGGTAAGATGAAGGACGAGTGTGCTGGCACGCCCATAGCCGAGTACATAGGGTTGAGGCCTAAGATGTACTCAATACTGAAAGCCGACAATGGGGAGATCCAGAAGGCTAAGGGTGTTAAGAAGTACGTGGTTAAACAACACATCAAACACACCAGATTCAAGGAAGCCCTGTTCAAGACCCGTACCTTTAGGCATAAAATGAACACACTTAGAAGTGATGGCCATAAGATATACGGACTGACAATAAACAAGACGTCCCTGTCGCCTATGGATACTAAACGTTGGATAGCTATTGATGGGATAAACACGTACGCGTACGGGCATGAGAAAATTGAACCAAGAACATAGGTATAAATAAATACCCTGTCGGGGTGACATGTCACGGAACCAGAGAAAGTTTGAGACTATTTACTATAGCCCGCGTGGGTACTGGAAAGGAGCTAGCACTGTAGATAAGCTGGCTAAAATGGCGCGAGTACCCCCGGAGGAAGCCAAAGCGTGGCTTGAAAAACAAGCCCTGTGGCAGATCTATTTACCGCCACCACGCTACGTGCCTAGAAGGAGGTTCGGTATTAACATACCCAATAGCGTTCACCAGGCAGACCTACTGTTCCTACCCCACGACAAGAGGTACAAGTATGCCTTAACCGTAGTGGACGTAGCCAGTCGCTACAAGGAAGCCGAGCCCTTGACCACGAAAGATTCTGCCCAGGTAGCCAGAGGATTCGAACGCATATACAAACGCAGTCCGCTGACGTGGCCAACAGAGCTGCAAGTTGACCCAGGGCGGGAGTTCATGGGTGCTGTGTCACAACTGCTAGCCAAACACGATACAAAGGTCAGGCGTGGCACGGCCGGAGCCCATCGCAGCCAAGCCATAGTTGAGAGATTCAATAGGACTTTGGCTGAGCGCTTATTCGGACATCAGTATGCTAGGGAGATGGCCACCCCGGGAAAACGATCGACTGGATGGGTCACGAGGTTACCCAAGGTGGTGTCGGCAATCAACCATGAGGTCACCCGTCTCACCGGTAAGAAACCGGCAGACGCTATCAAATTAAAATCAATAGTGTCAGAGTCGGCTGCTCCATTGCGTGGGAAGGAGAAACAGATACCAGACAGGGCCCTAGTGAGATATTTATACCAGCCGGGGGAACACGAGGGTGATAGCCGTAAGCGAGCCACCGATCCTATATGGTCAGTCAAAACTTACAACATAGATAAAGTGGACATCAAAGCAGACGAGCCGAACTTGTACTACTTGAGGGATGGGCCAGGTAGGGGGTTTGTGAGAGAAGAATTATTGATCGTACCGTACGGCACAGTGTTACCTCCTGTCAACACGGCATAGCGATGATGCAATGGTGCAATCCCAGGATAGACCCATTAAACCGAGATACTCCAGTTAAGTCCCCCGGTAGCTCAATCGGTTGAGTGGTGCGACCCATTATGTATAGTTTGCGCGAGCTATACATGTGGGTTCGTATCCCGCCGTTGCCTCAGTGGATTCCTTGCAACTTTGTGTGATGTGAGGTGATTCGGTAAGGTATCCCGGAGTGGGGCACTCTCATGGTGAGAGAAAGGCAGCCGGCACAATTCCCAAGGGAGGAAGCGCAATACATTTCTATTTCTCCCTTTGGGAATTGTGGCTGCCGGGGACATTTTGCTTGAAATTTTTATAGGTTGGGAAAGCAGTAGGGGTAATGGTAGCAAGAGCTAAGGGTCCGACCAAAGCCTTATTTGGGAAATAAGGCTTTGCAAAGGCTTTTGTTGGAACTGGTCCAGGACAATCATTACCTCTACTACTCGCTGACTGCAAACAAGCTAGGAAGGCCAAGAAGAAAGCTGAACAGTATTTCCGTCGCCTTCCTATGGTTCACAGTTTAAATAAGTTCAAAATTTTAAACGCTAAAGCAAGGCGTACTTTTAAACAAAACAAACGACAGTCTTGGCAAAATTATGTTTCAAAAATAAATTCACGCACGCCAATGTCAAAGGTATGGAACATGATCCAGAAAATCAAAGGTAAGGGTTCTAAATCTAGCATTCACCATCTGAAAGATGGGAATCAATTATTTATCAAAAAACAACAAGAAAAGAAATCTCTTAATTTTACTTCAGATAATGGGGAGGATTATAGCGAAACCTTTTCGATACATGAACTTCACACTGCTCTTGACCAGGCTCGCGATACTGCTTCAGGAGCTGATGGTATCCATTATCAACTACTAAAGCACTTACCGGATTCATGTTTGGAGACACTTTTACATATTTTGGATGACATTTGGACATCTGGAAATTTTCCTTCCTCGTGGCGCGATGCTATAATTGTGCCCATCCCTAAACCTGGACGCGATCATACTGATCCCTCGAATTATAGACCAATTTCACTAACTAGCTGTGTTTGCAAGACCATGGAACGCATGATAAATAATCGACTTGTTTGGTACTTGGAAACCAATCACCTCATAACAGATATACAATGTGGTTTCCGTAAAAACAGAAGTACAATCGATCATTTAGAATCTTTTGTGAAGAATGCAATAATTAATAGACAACATGCAGTGTCTATCTTTTTCGATTTGAAAAAAGCATACGACACGACATGGAAACATGGGATATTAAAAGATTTACATGACTTTGAATTACGAGGCCGTTTGCCTCAATTTATATTCAACTTTTTAAATGACAGACAATTTCAAGTCCGAGCGGGTTCTACTCTGTCTGAACATTACAATCAGGATCAGGGTGTTCCACAAGGCAGTATTTTGTCTGTCACACTGTTTAGTATTAAGATTAACAGTTTATCCAAGGTTTTAAATGATTCAATTGATGGATCACTTTTTGTGGATGATTTTAATATTTCTTGTCGTGGTAAAAATATGCATACTATTGAACGGCAAATGCAGTTCAGTTTAAATAGAATAAATAAATGGTGTCTTGAAAACGGCTTTAAATTTTCCAAGTCCAAAACTAATTGTCTACACTTTTGTAGAAAATATAAGCCGCATAAAGACCCAGAACTATCTTTAAATGGCACTCCGATCAAAGTTGTCAAGGAGGCCAAGTTCTTGGGTCTAATTTTCGACTCCCATTTAACTTTTTTGCCGCATATTAAATCACTTAAAGCCAAATGCCTGAAAGCACTCGATTTGTTGAAAGTCGTTTCCAACTCAAAGTGGGGAGGGGATCAAGCTACCCTTCTCCACCTATATCGATCATTGGTCCGCTCGAAACTTGATTATGGCTCCATCGTATATGGTAGAGCCTGCCAAAGCAACCTAAAACTACTTGATTCTGTCCACCACCAAGGCGTAAGACTTTGTCTTGGGTCCTTTAGAACCTCTCCTATTGATAGTCTATATGTTGAAGCAGATGAGCCTTCTCTTTCACAACGTCGTATAAAATTATCTTTACAATACATTACTAAACTATATTCTAGCGAGTCTAACCCTGCATTTAGCTGTGTTTTCAATCCCCTCTATGAGGATTTATACACCAAAAAACCTTCTCTTGTTCCGCCTCTTGGGCACAGAATTAAACCCTTCATTTCTGCTGCCGGCATTGAGCCGGAAAATATAGCTCCTTCCCGTCTTTTTTCTTCTCCTACTTGGCAACTGGTGAGGCCTGAAGTTGACCTAACTCTGACAAAGTTTAAGAAATCTGTAACTAATGACTTACAATATAAACAAGAATATAATCAATTAAAAAATAATTATAATACTCACAAATCCTTATTTACAGATGGGTCCAAGGATGGTGGCGCGGTGGCTTGTGCCACTGTCATTGGATCCAGAACAATCTCTTCTAGAATACCGGATAACAGCTCTGTATTTACAGCAGAAGCAAACGCCATCTTAACAGCTCTTAAATATATTAATACACACCGTAAATATAAACAATATATCATCTTTTCAGATTCTCTTTCGTGTCTTCAGGCTATTAAAAATCTTTCTTGTAAACATCCACTTGTATTAGAAATTATTGAATTGTACAATGAACTTGCTACTGGCCAATGCGACATCGTCTTTTGTTGGTTACCCAGCCACGTTGGCATTTCTGGGAACACGATAGCTGATATTGCTGCTAAGGCAGCCCTCAACAAATCTGTGACACCACTTCTTATCCCATACTCTGATTATAAAGCCAGCATTAGAACATACAGGGTGATATTACTATAGATGAAATAACACGAGCCGTTAAATCAATGAAAAATAACAAAAGCCCAGGAGTAGATGGTTTCCCAATAGAATTTTTAAAATTTTTCTGGAAAGATCTTCATATTTGGGTTTGTAGATATATATCAGAAGCATTCAGGCAAAATATGTTAAGTCCAACAATAAACAGAGGCGTCATCACATGTATCCCAAAAGCTAACAAAAAATAGACAGTTGTTAAAACACTGGCGCCCAATTTCCCTACTGAATTCTTTGTATAAAATACTCAGCACATGCATAGCCAATAGAATTAAAACAACATTGAATACTCTTATTCATGAAACTCAGACAGGTTTTATACCTGGAAGGTGTATTAGCGAGAACATTAGATTATTATACGACATTATGTTTGAAGCAAAAGTACAAGATAAAAAGGGACTCTTGTTGCTTATTGACTTTGAAAAAGCTTTTGACACTGTCTCTAAAGAATTTATAATTTTAACAATTGGAAAGTTTGGCTTTGGACCCAATATGGAAAAATGGATCAAAATATTAATCAATAATGCTACATCATGTGTTATACAGAATGGTCATTTATCACAATTTTTTGACAATGAAAGGGGCTGTAGACAAGGGGACCCAGTCTCTCCCTATATATTCATCTTAGTGGGTGAAATTTTAGGAATAATGATCCGTAACAACGCTGCAATAAAAGGAATTACATTGAATAACACTGAACATAAAATTGGACAGTATGCAGATGATGCTGAATTATTTCTCGATGGGCGCGAAGAAAGTTTAAGGGCAGCAACTGACACTCTCAATAATTTCTACAAAATGTCTGGTTTAAGAATAAATATAGATAAAACGAAAGCAGTGTGGATAGGCTCAATGGCAGGTAGTAGCATGATTTTATGCCAGGATCTTAAGCTTGATTGGCATAATGGGGACTTTGATATTCTAGGAATAAGACTTAATCCTAATTTAAATAACCTTTGGGTAATTAATACAAGAAAAAGACTAGAAATTATTAATAGAACTCTAGGGAATTGGAGGAAAAGAAAGTTGACATTAATAGGGAAAATAACTGTTATTAAAACTTTAGCACTTTCACCATTGGTGCATATATTCACCTCACTCCCAAATCCTCCAAAGGAATTCATTGACAAATTAAACAATATATTTTATAAATTCATCTGGAATGATAAGCGGGATAAGATAAAGCGAACGACACTTATTAGAAAATATTAAGAGGGGGGACTCAGAATGGTTAATGTACAGGTATTCATAAACTCTTTAAAACTGTCAGTTTTACATAAATATCTTCAAAATAATAGCAGTTCTAGCCCTAGTATCTTTCCATTTAAAGATATATTTCTGCTTGGAGCCAATATTGAAACCTATGTCAGTATTATGAATCCCTATTGGAAAGATGTATTGGCTGCATGGGGAATATTCTATAAAACACATCAAACTGATTTTACAGATATTGATCAAATCTTATCTCAACCCCTTTGGTTCAATCACCAATTCCAAAATAGTAATTTCATTATAAGACATTGGCATCTCAAAGGTATTCACTCTATAAGAGACTTGTGTAATGATCAAGGTATTTTGCCATTTAGTGAACTTAAGAAAACTTACAAAATTAAAGGCACAATTCTTGACTATTACCAGGTTCTTTCAAATATACCCCCAAAATGGAAAGAAACTATAAGAAAGAATTTATTGATTGTTCATAATCATTATCTTAACACATCACTGATAGATTTACTTTCAGCACCAAAGAGATCCAGATATTTCTATGACAAACTTATAACTACTGAAAACCTACCATCAACATGTGAAAAATGGCAAAATATCTTTGTTATTGCAATTCCATGGCAAGATATTTTTAGAAAATATAGAAGATGTACAAAAGATACCAAATTGATTGACTTCCAGTTTAAATTTATCCACAATATTGTCTACACAAAGAAAGAATTATTGAGAATGAAATTAGTAGATGATGAACTTTGCTCATTTTGTAATTTAATGTCAGAAAATTTGATACATGTTTATTGGGAATGTGAATGTGTGAAAACGTTCTGGCTGAAAGTGAAAGAATATATTGAAGATAAATCATCAGAAAATTTTACCCTGACAAAATATACAGTCTTAATTCGCGGATATAATAACGACCTTATGAATCACATACTTCTTGCCAGTAAAAAATATATCCATATATCAAGTATTAAAAAAAATAAATTATCACTGGATACATTTGTAAAAATATTGAGTGATATCTTCAAGACAGAAAAGTTTATTGCCAGTAAGAATCAAAACATATTACAATTTGACAGAAAATGGTCATCTCTACTGCACACATTCCCAGCCTAATGAAGATCCCAATATGTGTAATGCCAACCCATATGAATTTCTCTCCTACGATGTACAAGTGTTGTTGCATCATGTGCTTTGTATACATGTATCTACTGATTTTGAATGAATAAAAAAAGAATAAAAAAAAAATAGAACATACATCCGCGATCTAATGCAAAGGAAGTGGGACACCCAAGTAGGTATTAATAAATTACATGCAATAAAACCCTACATTGGTTACACCAACTTGGGTTGTCAGTCTAGATTTGAGGAGGTCATTATGCGACGATGTCGCATTGGCCATACCAGACATACTCATGAATATTTATTGAAAGGCGAAGATCCTCCGTTTTGTATCCCTTGTGATGAAAGGATCACAGTCAAGCATGTCTTGCTTGACTGCATTGAATATTCCATCACAAGGGATATCTATTTCAAATCCAAAACTCTGAAGGATCTTTTTAATAATGTCAGTTCTCATTTAATTATTGCGTTTTTAAAAAAAATTAGATTTGTTGACTGATTTGTAAATAGTTAAATATTTTATTGTTGGTAGTTTATATTAGTAACTGAGATTGTTAGTGGCTGTACCCTCAAAGGGGGGTTGACGTAGCGTAAAATTATTGTCCTCCTGAGGGGGTACGTAAGTCCCAAAACTTTCAAAGTCAATTTAAGTGTACCAGGTTTTTAATCGTAGAATATGTGTGTTTTTAATTTATGGCTAGATTTCTCTTCTGTCGCAAATGGCTGAAGGGATGGTGTCAATCCAACTAGGGTCCATGCAGGTAGCAAAAGTAATGTAAGTCCCCATGGTTCCTAGTATGGTGATCTACCTTCAGTTATTGGTGATCTATAGCCCATTTTTACATTGTATTGTCTTCTTTAATTGGAATATTTTAGCTTTGTTCGCTAGTTTTATATTGATATCTGTGATGATCTATTTTTACTGTCCTTCGTCGGCAGGTTTTTATAATAACTATATATATTCTATTACAATGTCAAATGTTCTCCTCACGATATGGCTGAAATATTGCCGATGTGACGTTAAATAATAACTCACTCACTCACTCACTCAAAGCATATAAATCTAATGGAAGTCCTTCATGTCTTGAACACTTGAGGATGTAAGAATCTTAGATTTAAAAGCGTTGCTATACATGGTAATTTAATCCGTAAAGAATCCGTGTTTGATTGTGTCCTAAACCATGCTTGCCTGTCACTGAAGGCAATCTTACTGTCCAAGCATCGGTAAGGAACAAATGAACAACAAAATTATTTCTTTCCACAGAAATGTCATCACATGGTGTACGTGTCAATTCAATCAAGTAAGTACAACCAGAAAAAAACAATATTTACTGTCGAGGAGATGCCTATGGCTCTGAGGAGATGAGGAATAGTGTCGCTTAGATTCATTTGAGTTCAGTTTAAAATGAGATTCAATAAACTGAACAATATGCATCATATGTTTTCATTTGTCGTAATTCCTTCTAGAGGGACAGTTAGTGGAGCCGTCCTACACAACTTAGGTCAAAATGTCCAATATTCTAAAGATGTTCATCAATGTTTGAGAGACGTCAGAGGCACACTGGCCCTTTCGGGAGTCACTCACAGATCAATATTATGTACTGCATGGGCTGGTATTTCACAATTCGTACTGCTGTACAATATCACCACAATCACTTCATAAATATACATGGTATAGGCCATGAAGTAGGAAGTTGAAACTGGCATAAACGAATAACTTTTATTACACATGAGCAAATCAGCTCAGCACGTGTCTTTTTGTAAGTCTCTTATACCAAGTTAATCTTTATTCATAATAAAACAAGGCACAGACAGATGTATCAGACATTGCGAAAAGAAGAGTGGAACCAGATATTGCAAGTGAATATCACATCCATAAAATTGGATTGAAAGTTGGGTTTTTCATTGTGGTTGTTATAGATTATGTTATACTTGGTTTGGTGCTGTTATTCCATATACGGTCACATGTGCTATTATGTTGTTCTTGGTTTGGTGCTGTTATTCCATATACGGTCACATGGGCTATTGGATTATTGATATCCCGAGTGTTGTATACAGTTTAGGTGTTATATTCACTTTGTTCTTTATTAAACAAAACACTGACTGATGTTTTTTGTCATTGTGAAAGGAAACGTTGTAGAATACATTGCAAATGAATATCACATACATAATATTGCATCACATTGCCCCAAAACATGTTTTCAAAACTGTCAACTTACTCAGCTGTCAGACTCAGTTGTCAAGGATGCACATGACGTCAACTGAATTGTGTGAATGTTTTATGTAAATTGTCTTTTATGTTTTTGGTGAGCTATTCCATATACTTTCACCTGTTCTGTTGGTTTATTCTGATACACCGTCACTGTGTTGACTTAAAGTGTTACAGTCACTGCTAGTGATGCATTCGTGTTGATAGATGTTTTTACTGTGTTGTTTCCATTGTTTCAGTCCAGGCTATGTACCCAGCAACATGTTGTCAAAGGTGTTGACTAAAGAAGTAGCCGACCAGGTACGTTTAACCCACCACACCTTGTGTGGAAACCTGTGATTATAGCATGGGAACCTTTCACGTTGTTTTGATATCACAACACTCAGTGGTAACGAACATGATCATGCAACAAACAGACCCTACCGTATTGTAAATCGCAGACTTCCCAAGTGGGGCGGGGAAGAGCTTATAAGCGTATAGAACTAGCGCCCAAAGTACTCATTGATTACGATACATATACTAAAATCCTTTCACTAATTCATTCACTCTCTTTCTTTCAGATGGATAAAGCTATAACACAGGCAACACCAATTGGTCGAGGTGCTACCCCAGAAGAAATGGGTCACATTGTGGCCTTCCTAGCCTCGGATAAAGCAGCCTTTGTAACTGGAGAGAGTTTCAGGGCCGATGGTGGGTTCTCAATGACCACACCAGCCCTTGGATAGAAAATGTTGAGGGAAGCTTGAGGTCTACTTGGATGCTCCATTAGCAGATTGTGGGAGGAATATTCGCATTTGTACCAAACACATCCGCCCAACAGACAAATACCAGTGAAATGTGACAGTTGACTTTATTCATAGATGATATAATGCATGGGAAAAGAAATATATTTTGTATTTACTGGAACATTCTGAAATTGTTCTGAAATAATATAATTACTAATATGAACACAATGTCATTTATCAAATTCTGTAAGATATTGTCCCACTTGCGTTAAACAAATAAATATGTATTCTCAAAACTTTTTCTCAAAGTTTGTTTTTCTGGTTAAGCAGTGGAGCAGCTATTGGTGATTGGGATCTTCACTTGCTTCACTATCCCCCATCCGGCCATCCTTGTCGTTGTGAGCATCAGTATTTAAACGTTTTACATATATTGTCAAATATTGATAAGTTACCAACTCCATGAAGGCAGTCAGCGTTAGGCGCAGTCGGTAAGGGATGTTCATGATTCAGAACTTCCATAGAAAATGAGACCTACACCATTAGAGGATTGTGTAAGGAACATTCGTATGTGTGCCAAACACATTCGCCAGTGATATTTGACACTTGTATTTATAAATAATGTAAGGACATGGAAAAAGAGGTAATTTTTGTGTTTACAGGGCAATTCTTGAAAATTCTGAAGTAATTCTGAAATATTATAATTACTAATACGAATACAATGGCATTTATCAAAATCTGTAAGATATTGTTCCACTTGTGTTAAACAAATAAATATTTATTCGGGAAACTTTTTCTCAAAGTCTGTTTTTTCTGGTAAAGCACTGGTGTTGATGTTTGGAGAGGGAGGGGGTGGGTGGGAGTGGGTACAGCTGCAGTATCCCCTCACCCGGCCATCCTTTAGCATCAGCATTTTTAAACGTCACTACAGGTTGCTATTGGAAGTAAATATATGTCAAATATGATTACAGTCCGTTTGATTTCATTTGAGACCGATGAATTGTTCACTAACACCACATCTAATCATTGCATTAAATTGGTAGAACAGCCAGGTGGCCGAGTAGCAGGTGTGAAATTGAAATTACACTACACACGCTTGTTGATTACCTGGCTGTTGTAATAGCAAGTGGTCCCCCTCGTAAAAATAGAGAAAAGTGACAACAAAATAATGATAGTTTATATTATATATATTCGGGTGTCCAAAATTATGAGACAAATCATCAGAGTTGGTCTGTCGACTTCATGTGACTGTGCAAAATTCGGCCTGGTTGCAATTATTACACTTTGTGTTAGTGAGCAATTCATCGGTATTTTAAAACTGAAATCAAACGACCATAGTTACCAACTTTATGAAAACAGTCCCGTGTCAGGCGCACTCGGTGAGAGATGTACATGATTCAGAAGAATTTCCATCGATAAATCATCGTTAGACAGGAATATTTAGACAAGTATGTTTGCTTGCTACACAACTGCTTGCGTAGACTTAAAATATACACATACTGGATCGCGTGTGTTGCCTCACTTTAACAGTCAAGTGACAAAGTAATGTGGTTCTGGAACTGATACTGACCCCCCAATTTTGCATGGGCAAGAGGAAGCTGGATGCAGATTTATCATGAATGACAGAAAGTCGGGTGCAGACAATGTCCCTTCTAGGATTCCATACCTGTAGGATGTTTGAGGTCCGGAAGGCTATGGATCAGATACTATTACCCAACGGCCATTGTGATATATAGCTGAAATATTGCCAAGTGCGGCGTAATACAAAATTCACATTGTCGAGTTTTACATTGACAAGAGGACACTCTGAGGGGATGTTGGTTTCATAGTTGTTCCATGCTTCCCGATGGTCGGGCTAGGTGACTTGGTTCCGTGTGTGCAGTTGTACCCCGACGATGTCGAACGGTGCTCATAATATCAGACACTATTTTAACTGGATCACATTCTGGTATTGATAGGACGCAGTCATTTAGCCTGAATATTTAATTGCAAAGCTAAACAAAATGTCTTGAGTATATTTTTTTATCCCTTTATTCATTTCAGAAAGGTATACAAAGACAAGGAGTGCACGACTCCATGTTGGGGCTGGTTACACATTGGCAACAAAACGTTACAAATTCAGCAAACTCAGGATTGCAGATTTTCAAAGTGTGAAATAAAGCTTTTGGGCCATATTTTGTGAAATATATCAATCCTGTTGTTTTTCTTAGCTATATATTTTTCGACGAATACAATATTCTGTATTAATTTCAGAAATCCTATATATATATTTATATATATATATATATATATATATATATCGTTTCCTAGAAAGAATAATGTTGTTGATAAACTCATAGCCAGTGATAAGTCCCAATAGAATTGTGAAATCTGAGAGTACAACATCAATGCTAAAAGTGTTTTTGATAAGAATCCTTAGTTCGTTCCAGAACGCCTGTATATGTTCACAAGAGACAAAAAACATGGTTTCTAATTTGCAAAACGTACAAATATTTTTGTCGATCAATTTCATTTTCAGCAATTCTTTTTAAGTATGTATAATCTTGTGGATGACTCTAAATAGGAATTCAAATAACTTAACATTCCGAGTACATTTTCTTTTATTTGTAAAAACAATACTCCAAGGCAATGTAATCTTAGTCATATTTTCCCACTTGTTACACACATCAGGTAACTCACATGTTTTAATCAATTTGTCATAAAACATTCTACAACCTTTGAAGGTATAAACCCACCAACCCAAACCAAACAACCTCTCCTACCCACCCCCACACTCCCTATCCCTCGAAAACCTCGCCCTAACACAGCACCACCCCCGCCCAAGCCCACTAACCACCACACTGTCCCCCCACACACAAAGCCACACCCACACCACAAAACAGCTGCAATATTGATGAAAGACATAACAGCCAAAAAATACACACGCTCTCACACAAAAGCAAATTATACCACAAGAGCCATTAAAAGTAACTTTTAAACCTATAACCTCTAAGCTACTCTAGCCTTCAACTCCTTAATTCAAAATTTATGCCCCAACCCATAGTCTTTTATAACCTACTATACATCTGTGCATAAAATAAGCACCACCCTGTATTTTTACCAATTATTTTTGTCTGAAATGAAATTCTAAACTCTTTCCCCAAAATAACCTTCATAATTTGATACAGCAAGCATTTAACATTTCAAAAACGAAAACGTCATTGAAATTACCATGTACTTTAATTAGGATAATTGCCTATATTTAAAACAGGTGTTTTTCTATCCTAAAACTGACTGACTGAGTTTGGTTTTACGCCGCTTTTAGCAATATTCCAGCAACATCACGGCGGGGGACACCAGAAATGGGCTTCACACATTGTACCCATGTGGGGATTCGAACCCGGGTCTTCGGCATGACGAGCCAACGCTTTAACCATTAGAGTACCCAACCGCCCCCTATCCTAAAACAAGTTACCTTATTTTGAAGTGTGAAAATAATAATTGATTGTTGTGTGGCCTATAAATTTGTTATTTATCGTGAATGGATGAAAGTTTGTGAACTAAGATTTAGGAAAAGTGAAACTAAAAGAAAAGGAAAATTTTGAAATGCAGTAAAGGTTGCTTTACAAACAAAACAAACAGATTTTAGCTGTAATTATCAGTATCCGGCAAGGAGAAGTGTTTATTCTTTACAATAAACTCAAAATTTATTCCAAAATCTTCTTAATGTGGCCTTTTTTCAGTTTTTGTCAAGTAGCAATCTGAATTATTGGAAAAAAGGTCTGAATCTTTCACATTCGGGTTCTTTCTGATTATGAATAATTAAAGCTTACTTGATGCGTAAAAGTCATCTTGGAACATAATGGTATATAACAGAATTATTATTCTTAGTCAAAACTTAATTTAATTGTGTAGTTTGAGGAGGAAAGGAATAGACATTTTGGGTAAAAATTCAGTCCCATCACATTTTCATCAACATATTCTGTCATAAAGAATAGAAAAGGTTATGGTATCTGTAAAACTGTCAGTGGATAAACTTTCTTCAACGACAGGTTGATGAAATTATTGGCTATACCCTAACTTTTCTGTAGCATCACATCTTATTTTCAAAATTATTAATGCACGGGTGTATATTACAAATTACTGCAACCATGGCTATTTTGCAGTGGAACTGTAATGGTCTCCGAGCACACGGGCATGAGCTCTCATCGCCCAGAACATTTATCACCATTATCCTGGGGGACTTCAACGCACACCACCCACTGTGGGGCACAAGACCTTTCATCGATATAAACGGTACCCGACCATCTGACTGGCTAGACCAGCACAATCTAGATACCCTCTCTCCCACCTACACTACCCCACAATCACAACACTTAAAATCACGCAATCTTGTATATGGGAGGTACACAACGACATCTTGGGCAGCGACCACTGACCCATCAAAATCACAATTACAACACACATTCCCCCACATTAATAAACAATACCCACAATATGCAGACACAACCCACAGAACTTAAATTCAACATTAAAAAGCAGACTGGCGCAAATTCACCACACTCTGCAACCAAATAGACACAACCAGCATCTACGACCAAGACATAAGCACATTCAACAACGGACCAACCCCGCACTAAAAACAGTCCCATGGTGGAGCACAGGAATTATTAATGCCAGAAAGGCAAGAAAACAGGCCCTTAACCAATCTAAAAGGGACCGTTCTAAATTACATTTGGCTACAAAACTAAGTACATTATATAACGCTACTATATATCGTCTTTGGTTGAATGTATCATGTCCATCATTTAAAAACACTCGCCATGTAAATGTGCTATATGTACATCAGATGTAAATGCTGTACTTCATTGACAATGTAATCTCCATTCATATGTAACATAATTGTACCTCAGGGTTGGTCGCATTCTCCACGTAAGGGCGTGCTGCCCCTCTCTCATTAAGCAAATTTAGTAATTCAACTCTATCACTAATAGATGACCAGCCGAGCCACGCTTATCAGGCACACGTGCTGTCCCCCCAAATATAGTACTGGACGGGGGATCATCGCTACGTGCGATACTGGTGGAGACAGATCTCGGGTGCCTCTACAAGCCAAGCAACCAAGTCCCAACCAAAGGTTAGTGCTGAACTTTTATACTCCGTCTGGGGTCCACAACCACCAGCCTTCTCTGCCTAGTTTTTTGCGGAATCAAGAACATTCCCATGTGCCTCCTACCAGAGACCATATAATAAACTATTATATGCTCTCTGCTCCTACTCAGCACCGCCTTCACCTATAAGGCGCAGCTGCATTTCACCAGGACCAGACTCTGAAGAACAAGACCATTCCACCAGGACCAGACTCCTAACACCAGTTTCATCTTTCCAGATCCCGACTGGACCAAGCTCCTCACACCTGGATCAAGCCGCCACATCCACACCGGACCAGACTCCTCGCAACTGTTTCAACTCATCACATCTCTCTAGGCCCCAGACAAGCCAAACCAAGTCACTGTGAAAGAACTGTGCGAAAGAACTGTCATTGTGTAATTATTCGGAACTCCAGTTGCATAATCATTTGGGTAAGCATATTCTTTAGCTTATCACTTACGTACCTGCTTATTTTGCCTGTTCAATCCACATCTTTAACCTTTGTCTAAGAATGTCCATTTTGAAACTGAATCCACTAAACGCAGACGACCGGTTACCCCTCTTACTCCCAGAATCGATTAACTCGCCCCCAACCTCTAAATCCACCCCTAAGCAGGTCAATCTCAGCTCCCTCGACCCCTACTCCTCTCAATGGGTGACGACGCCAGCTCGAACACACCCTTTAATAGTCACACCGAATCTAAGGCTCCCCGCCCCACACCCCCCTAGTTACGGCAACCCCTCGCCCTTACCACCCACCCACGTCTCAACCTCCCCAGTCATTCTCACTAACCCCCTCACCCACGTAACACATCCCCACCACCCCGTCGACCCACCAACCAGGACCCCCCAACATCCCATACTCTCTCTACCATGTCCAGGGCAATTAATTGTTCTCGCCACCCGCTTCCCATGTATGACGGTAAAGACCCCATAGCGGCATCTGCTTGGCAAAACGCTATGAGAAGTCTCCTCTGCTCAACACTAAACCGAGGGAGATCATATTGATATCTTTCCCCTTTACCTAACCCATCTAGCGTCAGAATGGTACGAAGGTATGAACGAAAAATACGTCACGCATGTCTTGGCCAGAGTTAAGAGCTGCTTTTCTACGGCGATATTCCCCATTATCTATAAGCTTATTAACTCGCCAAAATACCTTATTGGATAGGAAACAAAGGTCTGGTGAAACCTTTCCCGCCTTTCTTCAGTCCCTCAGGCATGAGGCTGAACTACTCCATAGAAAAGATGATTGCTATATCAAAGATCTCATTTTACGTATTACACTGCCCCACATACGTCAGTTCATCCTAACTCACGCCCATGATAGTCTTGAACAAGTAATAGAGAGTGCAGAAATTGCAGACGCCACGTCAGGGTTGACTGATCCCAAATCAGACCAACTTATGGCTGCGATCAATGCTCTCTCGTCCCAAGTCAATACTTTACACACCAACATGTTGAGAAAGCCGATCATCCACTGAACCATCACAAATATACAGCTTGTAATGCGTCCCCTATTGTCGAAATTGCCAACCAGTAAATGCACTTCTCAGTGGTAAACACACTAACCAACCAATACCCCAGTAGCGGCCCCAATGCCTGAATGTCCGAACAATAAGACTGAAAGGTAACGGTAACATGAGTTAAAACTCACGGCTTGAACCCTGAATGAGTGACGAATGAGGAGGAAATGATTTATAAGGGTTATGAGACAGTATGTATGTGGAGGTAGAAGGAGGTGTCAGCTGTCGGAATCAGGTACAGGTCAACCACAGACAAAAGAGCCATCATGCTATTGTCTGTGGACCCTGGAGAGACACCAGGTGTTTGTGGCTCTGCGCCGGGTTAGCTGATGGATTCCACCGCCTACCTGTCTCTTGATCACGGACAGGCCCACATGTGTGCTCTATACCCATGGGAGAGTGTTTAGAGCGATCATTCACTCCCCCAGAAGTCCCGGTAGTATAGGGCCAGCTGACCTAAGGAAAAATTGTGTAGTTGAAGATGACGTCATTAGAGGATTAGGTGGATACAGGTGATTTGAGTAGTAG